GTCATCTCCACAAATTTTTATGACGTTACAAAATCAGGAAAATGTTTTATGCTTAGGAAAGCAAGACCATCTTCAGCCTAAATAACAGTTTTGGAGTTGTAAAATAATATTACTAGCAATAGTAATAAAACTGTTTGCATATGCCCATAGTCGAAAAATCCAGTGTTTTAAAATCTTAATAAACGGGTTCTCAATGAATGATGGGCCCTGACAGCAGTACAACTCATTTATCAAATTTCAACTACCAATGTGCATATAAAGGGTAATTGCCAAAACAATTTCCGACAATAAAATTTCTAGAAACAGACTATTGGCATCGCCAAACAGTTTTACTAGCTAGTAATATTATTTTTCAACTCAAAAACTTTTGATCAGGATGAAGATGGTCCTTTCTGAGACCGAAACATGTCCCTGATTGTGTAACGTCATTAAAATTTGTGAAGTGACATCCAGCATTCCTTCCTCCCCCTTTGTATTACATAAATCTTGTTGGTTCAGCCAAATTTGCAGACTACATTATAGTTGTAGCACATCCTTTCCTGGTTATCCTTGAAAAATGTCGAACAACACTCTACCAAAACACGATCGTCTATAAAACGGCAAAGCTTTGGAATTCTTTGCCCATGGAGGTATTCCCAAGACCTTATAACCTCCAAAAGTTCAAAACAAATCCCAATACCTACCTCCTCTCCCTATCCTCGCAATGTACGCACGATGTTCTTCGAACATCATGAGAATTTCCTTCCGTGCGCCCCAAGAGATGGAAAAAAATCCCATTAGGCTTCGAAAATTAGTGTAAAATAACTCAATAATATGATAAACCTATAACTGAGAAAAGACATTTTTCTCCGATTGGCAGCAAATATTAATTTTGCTGACACATATCAATCAGCAAAGTATTAATCTTCCTGCCTAGGCAGTCAATCTACTACTTTGCTGCCTAGTTAAGCAAATAACTATTTTTTGAGAGAATTACAGTATTTTTCTTTTATTCGCGGTCGCCAAGGTCATTAGATAATGTTGCGATGACATTTAAAACTCCTGGAATAGATTGAGAATTAGACATCTAATGACCTTGACCACCGCGAATACAAAAATACAATAAAACGAGCGTTAACCAAAATATGTGTTTGCAAATAAACTTCACATAAATGATCGTTATTGGTAGGAACTGTATGCTCGAACTGGAATAATTATCACTTTATCTGAGTTATGTATGCGTAGACATGGCAACCCAGCGCCATTCAGTAAATGATCTGTGGGCGAATTTGGGTGCGCCAGAGCTAATGCTAAGTGTTCAGCGGATTGGAACGGACTAACAGTCGATGTACAGAACAAAATATAATTTATTGATAATGATACAAAGATACATTATTAGCTACATACATAAATAATATACAGGTATTGCGCGAACTCCCGGCCAGCCAGCTCAAGCCGACTGACATTGAGCACGATCGTCTCTAAATATTGCGGTAGGTATAAATAATAAGTTACATATAAATTATAATAAAATAACTACATAACATAAACGTGTTGATTGAGAAAAACACACAAATTAAATAATGATTTAAATAACAAAAAAATCTAATTCTCTCATCGGTCACATGAATATAGGCACACAAAAGAAATAATAAAAAAACAAAATGAGAAAAGCGGTAGGTAATAAAATATAATAAATAAACTTCGATCACGGAATGTAACGAAAATCGAGACCGATGACTTGAACTTAAACTAACTTGCACATTCACATCATCAACATTCGTATAAAACACGCCTCTTATAGATTTAATAATATTAAAAAAAAATCACACATTATCAAAATCACGCCGCCATACTGGCGAGTTATTTGTAATATAAATAAGACACTGTATCTAAATAAAGTCCGAGTTGGAGTTTAAAGTCGGATCCTCAGCGTTTTTTCTCTACCGGACTAACGGCAAAGCGATAAACCAGCAGCCATTCTCAGACGCAGAATATGCATACTAATGGGGCAAAAGGATTGCCTGTAAGTCTGGTACCGGTTCTGGTTCTCGATCGAAGATCTCTCAAGTTTTACGTACTTAAATGAAACTGCACTCATCAAAAGAGAAGGGAAACTAGATTTGTAAATGCTTTACATTAGTCAGTGCCATTCAAATGGCCAATATAAAAAATAAAATACAACTTCAACTCATTTAAATAAAAAAAAAACTTTTACGACATTGAAACTAGTGAATAAATGATCATAACTGGAGGCAAAACTATCTTGACATTGATGAATAACACGTACTTAAGTAGTTTCATTTTTATCACCTGTTTCAAAACTTTATCTCAAAATAAAAGTTCATAATTCGTCCTTTATAACCAATTGTGTAAAGAAACTGAACAAAATAATAACTGTTATGAAATTGATTCTTATGTAGCATTCAAAGTAGTTTTTTATTCACACTATATACTTTACTTCAAGTAGCTTTCGGATCTTTTTAGTGTCACGTTTACTATTACAAGGTTTTATATAGCTGATCGCGGCTGATTGTTATTAATTATTTCCCATGCTTTCACATCGAACTGTTGCAATAGAACTATGGAAGTGCTTCTTCAAGAAAGTGACGCCCCAGTAAGTAGTTATTTGCAATTTGATATCATTTGGTAGGCCTAGGTTTTACATTTTCTAAGAGATTCATAACGATCGTCGACCTAACCAATAACTGATTATTATCACTTCTCATACTTTTATAAATATTGCAAGTGAGTATATGGAACATAAAGAGGAAAAACTATAGTGATTGAAATTCTCGAAGTTGTAGGTGACTTATTGATTGTAAAACAAATGCTTGTACTCTTTTGAGTTTTGTCAAATGAATTATGAATTTTAGCTACAGACATGTGTTTTTCAATGTATATAAGTGCCCAATACTCAGTGAATATCAAATCATCTGATGGATACATCCACGCTACGGTTGCTTTCCAATTATGTCTCCCACTCAATGACTTTTGACAAATTATCAGTTTGATAACATTATTCCTTACTGGTCTTATAACTGTGCAATGAGAATAAAAAAAAAACCTAAGATATATGTTTTTCATCAACGCCCCGCATGGTTTTTTCCCCAAAGTTCTCCACTCGAGAATACCAACAGCTTTCAGCGCCACCCTTTCCCCCCATACCATCTCACCGCCTAACCCACGTAAATCCGGAGAGAATCATCGACAAGGTTCCGAGTTTGCAAAAATTCGAATGACCATCACTTTCGGTATTGATGCATTTTTAGTTCAATCCGAACGATTCTAACTACGGCGGACAATTCGAATCTGTATCCTTGACAATTTCTGTGGTGAACAAAACTAGCATATTAAGGAATATAGACCTAACATTATAGCGAATCCTTATCTGCCTCCACAATATTTTTCCAGAAAATGACTTGAAGAAAAATGGAAAAGTTGCAACTCAAATAGATTGCTGGTGTCTCTGATCTGTGATATGTCGAAATTGTAGTTTCATAATGATTCTTCTACAAATCAACTTCAAGGAATGATTTTCAACGAGGTTTTCAAGTAGTGTAACAAGTGCTTTGTACTTCGTTGATTAAATATTTGTATTGTTGGGTATTTCCCAAAACAGTGCTCAGTTTGTTTAGGCTGATCAATTCCAATATTGTTATTCCTTTTTATATTAATTTTCAATTTGCCATTTGTTGGTAGGTATTTTCAATGGTGGTCTCCATAATAACTTAATTTTCTTCAGAATTATTCTTGCATTCATCAGAGGTATTACTACTTTTATCATTATTAGTTTGAACATATTCATCTCTAATAGATGCCTTTACATCAAAATAACTTTTTGTGAGAATGTTTCTTGGATCTTTGATGGACTTTTTGAATATTTCTTCCTTGAATCATTACAGATATTTTCATCATTTTTATGTGGAATTACTACGCCTAGTTGCTTCCACTATTATGCCATCATTAGGTGAAATATCAATGGGAGGTGATTTAAATAAGTATTCTTCATCAGAGTCACTGTCACCACTATCACTTGTTTCATAATCACTACGATTCAAGTGTATTTTGTGAGTATCCAACGTGGGAATAGGTGCAGCTACAAAAGTGATATTCTTATATGTTTATACTCACCTTCTTTCTGAATTTTCCAACACTTGTAAGAAATTGTAGTGCAGAGACATAGGATTCACTGTTATTTTCGATCTTATGAGATAGCAATCACAACATTGATGTAGCCGAGATAGCGAGAAAGCAGTCTTCAAAATTGACAGATCATATTGCCCAAGATCGATTATCAGAATTCCATTTTTTCCAATCTTGTTGCCCACAACCATATTGCTATTCGTTAACAAAATCGATCCGAATAATGAAGTATATAGAGATTCGAATTAACCCCTTAGCCAGCACCGTTACGAATGGTCTAAAACCGGTCACTGTCTACACGACCGCCGCGGCGGTTGGATACTGAAACATAAACAACCGCCGCGGTGGTTACCAATTTTTATATGAAGACCGCCGTGAAATCCGCTGCGGTGGTTGGATACTGGTACATAAACAGCCGTCCGCGGTTACCAATTTATATATAGAAGACCACCGTGAAACATGAGGAAGAAAAATATCGTTTCTGCATGAAAAAGGAGACTACTTCTTTCAAACAAACTAACCTAACTCGCCTAAATAAACCTTTCTCCTGAGAAGTATATTTTTCGAAAAATTATTTTTGAGTCACCGCCGTGGTGGTCAGGTACACTGTCAACTGAGCTATCGCCTTGCTCGGAAGTCCTCTCTATGAAGAAGGAAGACATATCGTCGCATCGGTTCTTTATGTATCAGTATCCAACCGTCGCATCGGTTCTTTATGTATCAGTATCCAACCGTCGCGGCGGTTGTTTATGAATCAGTATCCAACTGTCGCGGCGGACGTTTATGAATCAGTATCCAACCACCGCGGCGGTCGTTTATGAATCAGTATCCAACCGCCGCGGCGGTCGTGTAGAGTGTCCTAAAACCGCGCCCATACCGACAGTCACGGTCGTCGGAATCCCCACACCGAGTTCACCACGTGGTACCATGAAACCACCGCACTTTTGCTTACAGCATCAGATCGCTCAGGGTGAGCATGTGCGTCGCCTCGATGAGCCTGTTGAACACGGGCAGCCGCTGGTCGTCCAGCCCGGGCGAGTGCAGCTCCGGCTCGCTGCTGAAGAACGAGCCCATGGAGGAGGTGGGCGACTGGCTGAGGCTGCACGGCGGGCTGGGGCTGTCGAGGCTGAGGGACGGGCTGAGGGCGGCCGGTCTGGGGCGGGCCGGATGGGCGGCCGTTCGCCCGGGCGGAGCGGAGGTCTTCTGCATGACTTCGTCCTGGTTGTGCACGAAGTGGCAGCGCGGCCCGTACGGGCAGAAGCCCACCGTGTGGTAGGTCCTGAAAATAGAGATGGGAGAATTTCAGTTTTAGTTATGAATATCAGTTTTCATGAAATATACTCACCGGCAAAAAACCGGCCACCAAGAAAATTGCCCAAATTGTTCACCCTTTAAATTTTATAATACTTGTCCGATTTTTGTGAAATTTCGATCAAATCGAAGATTCATGTTCCTGAATGTTAGCCTTAATATTAGTTTCCGTGAAAAGCTGATGACTTGAATATTATACAGGGAATAACCAAAATCACTCTTTCGCCGTTAACTTTGTAACGCCCTGTGGTGAAATTGACTGGTTGAACTTGGTTTTATCATGGTTTGGATTGAAGTGTTATTCTTTCTTAATACAATAGTATTTGATTCACGTCATGATCTTATTTTTAAGAGAAGATACGAGCGTTTTGAGAAAGTATGGTATTTTTCAATTCTTATTAACAATAATCAGAACCTACATATACGATACGTATTGATCCTGGTGGCCAGGTAGCCGTGCTGACAGAGTGTCTATATTCTAATTCGCATTCGCTTGCCGGTCGTGGGTTCGAGTCCCGTCGACTGCAGACATTTTTCTGATGGCCCAAGAAAGTGTTTGGGATCACACGTTAAAAGGTAAGGCCCCCGTCATTCCTTGCTCGCACAAGACTCTCGAAGACTTCTGAGGGTTGCTCGTAAGGGGGCAACCGAATGACGGATAGAACAATTTAAAAAAAAAAAAAAAAAAAAACAATACTTAGTAAATTAATATCACTTATTTCCATCTCATTTTCGTACCACTTACCGTTAAAAACCGTAATTACAATAAACAAACAGCAGACCTTCAATCAATAAGAAGTATGCCCTCCGAGTTTGAATTACAGCATCAACCGCCGTGGCATCGAGATGATCAAATTCCTAAAGTAGTCATGAAGAATTGTAGAGAGAATTACCTGAATTTTCATTGAAGGGCGAATCATAGATCTTGAAGAGTCTCTGACAATTTCGCAAGAAGACGAATGAGTCTCTTGAGTTCATCCCTGAGATGCTCTATTGGTTCAGAAATATTGTTAATAAAAATTTAAAAATTCCAAACTTTCTTGAAACACTTGTATCTTCTCTTGAAAATAAGATATTGACGTAAATCTGGAACTATTGTGTTAAGAAGGGCTGAAATAGGATCACACTTCAATTCGGAACATGATGAAGCAGAACGTAAGAGAATGGGTCTGAATTATTCTAAATAAGAATAAAAAAAAATCCATACTTTCCTAAAACCCTTGTATCATCTCTTGCTTGAGAAGTGCTTATCAACGTGAATCAAAAAACATTGTGTTAAGAAGGGATCACACATCAATCGAAAACATGATGAAGTTAAGTTTAACCACTCACCTTTGCCACAGGGTGTTAAGAAGTTGAGGGTGAAAGAGTCACTTTTGTTTTTCCCTGTATAAGTAATCAAGTATTAAAAACTCGGGGTATGTACACCATATTTAGAGAGTTGGTTGCAACTACTGGATAGGGAAATAAGTGATAATAATAATAAGAGTTTCGATAATATGATGATCATGATATGAACTCCAAGTATATAGCTTTTTCACTATACCTGCGTTGTGAGAGATTTTTTTTCAACAGTTTAACGAATCTCTGTATACCTATCTCAGTCATTTTCCGTTTCGAATTGTTATTTCGAACGATTTATGAAACTGATTAGTCTAGTGGGACTCGAGTAATTTTGCAAATATCAAATGATTTGATTATTATAACGTCACACTACTTGTCAACCAACAATTCGCGCGACTGTATGAAGGTGGCGCTGCCGAGACTGCCGAGATTTCGCCGCTGAACGTCTGCCAGAGGCCTATAAATACGGTGCCATGTGTGAAAAATGATAAATTTAACTTGGATGAAATCTCAACAGTAAGTAGTGACTAGGTTACTCAACTAGTGTTCTATATCAATCTGAAATGATGAATAAATGATAACTCCTCATTAGCACCTAAACACATAGTACTGTCAATTTGGACAATGCAGAAGCAATTTTACATCCAGGTAGAGTAAATAATTCAATCGATTTCCGGTGGATCCGACATAATGGTCTCTCGACTATTATATTCCAACTCTCAACTTTTGAGACAATGTATTATTCGGTTATTGAATTTCACTCTAAAGCTTGGGTCTTGAGTGGAATGTTCAGTTTCGAAATTGTTTCTTTCAACTCTATTTGTGTGTTTATTCAATATATTTAGAAAAATAAATAGTGTAAGTTTGAATGTGCTTGCATTGAAAATTCACACTAAATGAATTGAAAAAAATCACACTGTAGTTATACAGGGTGAGTCAATAGTGTGTTCTCTTTCGATATTGGCCAAACCGTCAGATATATAGAAAAAATGCAGATACAACAGTAATATTGTTTCATGAGAACTATCACTTTGAATTATTTTCATATCTATAGGGTGTTCAAATTCCAAGATATCGGCTGATGATGATGATTTGTTTTAAAGGGGCATCCTATATATTATTGCATTTTTAGGTTCTCCCTCAATATCCCAGCCCTACCTTGAATAATTAGTTGTGTTCTATCGACCTGAAATATTCTCAGTGTTGCGACGTTGCTGCTTTTATTGAAAAGTAGCAACAACTTGGATTTTTCAAATGGGACACCCTGTATATTATTTCATTTTCAGATTCTGCCTGAAGAGCTGATTCTATTGACCTACAACACTCGGGGTCTAGCAGTATTCAAAAACGAGGTCAAAAATCGAGATTTTTCAACATTAGGAATTTTTTGTGTCGAAACTATTCATAATTGGTCAAAACGGTTTCGATGTCTTAACTTTTCACGTACTATCAACTGATATTTAATTGAAATGTATACAGGGTGGCCAAAAATCTCAATTCTGAACCACCCTGTATTTATTTCAATTAAATAGCAATTGATAGTACATAGAAAGTTGAGATAGGGACATGGAAACCGTTTTGACCTATTATGAATAGTTTCAACACAAAAAATTACTAAAGTTGAATCTCGATTTTTCACATCCTATAACTCTGTAATTATTACTGCTAGACCCCAAGTGTTATAGGACAATGAAATCAGCTCTTCTGGGAGAATCTAAAAATAAAATAATATACAGGGTGTCCCATATGAAAAATCAAAGTTGTTGCTACTTTTCAATATAAGCGGCAACGTCGCAACACTGAGAATATCGTAGGACGATACAGCACAACTAATTATCTGAGGCATCAACTTTTCAGAATACTCCTGAGTAGGGCTGCGCGATATTGGATTTCAGTTATCGGTTATCGATAAGTTGAAATTTATCGATAAGTTCGATATATCGATATTTATCGATATATCGATATTTAAAAACTTAAATATCGTTATTCGATATATCGATATATTTATCGATATATCGATATTTTTTCCCAGCCCTAGTGTCAAACATTGAGAGACTATATAGTTATTCAATACCGAAAAGTGGAAAAAAAATATTTCACCATATTATTCAATGCAGCGCTTCAAATTAATTATGAATTCTTACACGAATTACTTTAATAACTTAATTTTGGCAATACCAACAGAAACATTCATAACAATTGTTCAAAATGATGACCATTATTCTCTAAATAAAGATATCCTCTTCTCACAGTTGCTTCTAAGACATTACTGAGCAACCTTATCTTGGACACACTGTATATCGATATATATCGATATATATCGATAAATATCGATATTTATCGATATATCGATATTCATCGATTTATCGATATTTATCGATATATCGATATTTATCGATATTTATCGATATTTATCGATATTTATCGATATATCGATACTTATCGATATTTATCGATATATCGATATTTAAAAACTTTAATATCGTTATTCGATATATCGATATATTTATCGATATATCGATATTTTTTCCCAGCCCTACTCCTGAGTTGCGTTCTCCAGAAACGTCTAATGTACCATCCACCGTGATTCAGCCTGTATATTCATTTTTTTATGTTCATAAATCATAGTGGAAGGAGAAGATGGTGTGTTCGACAGAAAGTTTAAACTCGTCTTCTTCTGCGCATGACGTCAACTGGGATATAACTGTCATTGTTATTATTTCTTTTCGTAACGATGTCTCAATTCAAATATGTAAGGTCGAAAATTGAATGAAATAGTTTCAATATGCCCACTTGTGTCGTTTCTGGTTATGAAAATTCCAACAAATATACGAATGTCATAGATATTGAATATTGCTGTTTTTCCAAGGATGGAGACCTAACGAAAAGATGAGTGCAAGCTTGCTGTCGAACGACAATGAACTAATTTGAATAATGGTACCTACCTTATATTCCTTATTCCTCATTCCAGAGTATATATTTATCTAACAAATCATATTCGAGGACGTATCTGTTCGCAACATTTCCATGCAAAACTTTTTCGGGCAAGTTTCAAAGTAAAGTTGTTGGTGCCTCCACGCACCTCCAGAAAACCACATATTCACAAATTTTTGAGACAAGAAGCCATTCGTACAGAACATTTTTCGTCAAATATTATGTTGGAAATAAAGCGAAATCAATTCAAAATACTTAATTTCTCAGATATAAATAGCAGCAGATTTGAATAACAAATCGGCAAAAAATTATACTCCTCTGTTGTTGTCGATGTCGAAGCGGAAACATTATCAAATATCAACTTCTGAATTTGAATCTGTCAGAATTGACACAATGGTGGATCATCCGATGGGATTGGCAATGCATGATAATTTGTATGTATTTGCTATCAGAGGCGGACTGGGGGGCCGGGCGGTCGGGCGATTGCCCGATGGGCCGGGGCCCTTTGGGGCCGGTAGAAATAGTGAATGAATGAAGAAATATGTCTTCTCGATAGCTTTCTGAAGTATGAGACCATTATAACTGCAATTTTGTTTAGGGAAATCTTCAATTTTACCACTCCTCTTTCGAGCTAACTACAAATGTCAGGTACCAATGGATATTTTAGATGCATACCAAATGGTCGGAAAAACCATGAAATCATTGAAAAAATATCGCGAGAATATGATGTAATTTTGAATGATACACATGAATTCATTGATAAAGCAAATGAACTATTTATTCTCTAAGAACACGAATTAAAAAAAGGTTCTTTGATGTGAAAGGTGATCATGAAGCACATCAAAATCCCATCAACAAATTCAAAATTGAGGCTTTTAATGTATAACCATTGATAATATCATCACCGCACTCGAATCCAGATTCAAGAAACCTAAAGAATTGTTTTACGATTTTGAACTATTTGATCCGTCGAGATTCATTGATGATCAAGTAATATCAACTGAAAACTCAATAAGGATGATTTATGAAAATATCACAAATTATCATCCTGCTAATGAAATAGACCTTGATAGATTTTACCCCGCAGTGGGAAAGACTGTTGAGTACTTTGTCAGAAGATATGATTGATAGTGGAACTTATGTCTTCGGTGTAGAAGAGGAATTGGTTTCATCAAAACACAAGTTTTGCAAAACATTTTCACTTTGTTGCTACCATGTTTTGCACAAATACAATTCATGTGTAGAGGATTCTCACCCTTTCAGTATCGCAGGTTTCGTGAGAGAGATCTTTCTCAAAATCGAAATTTATCTTGATTAGGCTAAGAAATTATCTGAGCCAAGAATATTTGGGGACTTTCATGATGATGAGCTGCGAAAAGAGATTTTAGGAACCGACGATATCATTTTCGATTTTGTTGAAAAATGTGGATCCATGGTTCACTCGTTTTTTAATTTCAATTTCTAATGCGGCTTATGTTGTATTTTGGTTAGATACTTTTCCTAGTAGTTTTGTAGCTTTAATATTAATTACAAAATGCCTTGTGTTCCTCTATACGATAGAAATATCCTTTATTTAATTTAATTTAATTTTTCATTTATACAATGTTATTTATGCTATTCATTTCATTTTTCTTCAGCATATTTGATGTTTTATCGACTAATTTTTTCGCTTAAGTTTGATTAGAATCAGAATTATTTGTAATATTTTTTTTGCGTTTTTGTCTATGTCACTCAAATATGTGATGAAATTATATAAATAGCTATATTAGCTTCGAAATTTTCTCCGAAGATGGGCCGGTAGGATTCAATTCGCCCGGGCCGATTCAATGGTCCAGTCCGCCTCTGTTTGCTATTTGCAATTGTGATTAACCGCAAGATAACAAATTCCAGTATCAATGAAAAAGTGAAATCGAAGGAATAACCTATTTATATGAATGGAATAATAATTGCTAGACAGATCGAGAAACTCATGGATATTTCAAATAAACTCAATTGAATTCATACCGCATGCCTATGGGAACTGTATCTGTCTTTTAGCAGCTGTCATTGGTATTCCAGATAACGTCACATGATATGCGCGTAAGCACACCATCTTCTCCTTCCACTATGTTAATAAATAAAGGGCTTTCACGCTGGGTTGATAGTTGCGCAATACTTGGTAACAATGTCGTGCCAAAACTGCACATCGAAAAATACTAGTAACTTTCGAAATGGGCGAACGGCGTTATCGATTTAAGTTGGCAAAACTGTACACCGATGCCATATTTATTTGACATTTCTAGAAGCGGTTTGTTGTAATCAGCGGATCTCTGCGAATTATTCATTACTGACAATTTGTACTTTCAAGGAATTTTTTGTGATTTATTTGTGTATAGTAGGTGAAATTCTATTTATTCAAAATGCCTTAACCATTGAGTGCGTAAGCGCAGAAGATGGTCCATTACTTACAATGACTGCTGTGAGAAATGTAAGTTGAACGATGGTATTAATAATGATATTTTGTGTTGTCCGAATGATCCAAAAATGATTTGTGTTAGTTTATTGTAATGATATAGTGGTTTCATGAGTTTTTGTTAGTTTTCCTCATGAATTAAATTGAGAATATCGAAGTAAGAACAACTCTTGCCTATTTCATAATTTTCAATATAAGTAGAAACACCACTATTCATTTTCCCACGAAATAAAATCAATTGATCGAATTTCTATTTCATTTCACCAATTTATAGTGATTGAAAAATATTCAAAACGATTAGATAACCTCAAAATTGAAGTTTTTATCATTTTCACTCAGTAAATGTGAATACAGTTTTATTAAAAAAAATAATTCAAGACATAATTGTGTATGGGTAGAAAAATATGATATTTTCAATGTCAATATCTGTGATTGTTTGTTGATGTTATATATAATGAATCATTCTTCAAGTTATTATTCTTTATAAGAATTTCATTATCATTAAATTTCATATTCAGTATATGTTTTAGGAGCATGGTTCATTAAATACAAATATTGAAGTTCATTTATCAACTTCAAGTGCTGATTTTGAAACATAAATGGACGGCTTTTGAGTTGGTTCCAAAAAACATTATAACGTCCGACGATCGTAACACTAGACATATCCATATTCGGGCGGTTGGTCATTCAGTCATTTCCTTTCAACTGGCAACACTGTATAAGTTGAAATATTGACGTCACTATCAACCCAGCGTGAAAGCCCTTTATATCTGGGAATATTCCTACCTGCACAGCTCCGTCTTGTACTTGGGATGCCTCGCCAAGCTCCTCAACTCATTGTACCCGTGCGCGAACTGGCACTTGTCCCCGTATTTGCACACGCCGAACTCCTCGAAGGGGCGGCACAGCTCCGTCTTGTACCTGGACGTGTTGGCCGCGCAGGCGGCAACGGAGGCGGCGGGGGCGGGCGCTGACTGCGCGCGCTCTAGCCGTCGGTGGTGCTGCTGCGTGAGGCTGCCCAGCAGGGCGGCCAGCTGGCTGGGGCCGGCGCCGGTCTGGCCGACGGCGGGCGTCGACGCCATGCGGGCGAGGGTGAGGCGGACCGCCGCGGGGCCGGCTGTCGGACGGGGGTCCGCGCTGACGGGCATCGCGGGCTGGAAGAGAGAGAGAGGACGAATATTAAAATGCAATCTTTTCTTTTTCCAAAACTGTCAGCGAATGTTACATTATCGTTGAAATCTCAGTAAGCGAAGTGGCTCTTTATCGAGCTCTTTTCTGCCACTCAGGTGTCAAATACTTTTTCCGGCAACCGTCACTTCCCACAAGTGCCGGATTTTTTACTATACCGCCGCGCCGCCGCCAAATATTTAATTTTCAATTGTCAGTTTCAAAATTCAAATAATTCTTTCACTGCTTTTTTTTTACAGCATATAACAATAACATGAAATCATTATATACTAATGATGAATACTAGAATACTTTTTTGATTTTTTGGTGCAAAGTCGTCAATGGCATCATCAAAATTCAGATTTGATAACATAATGTCACTGTTGATACTTAAAATTGATAAGATATTCAATATATCCTCTACCATGGAATTCCTAAGGTAGATTTTCACTCTTTTTAAAGTTGAGAATGACCTTTCACCACTGGCATAACTAATCATCAGGGATAATAACAAAATCTCAGTAATTGTCAAACAAAATTCAATCAATTAGGAATTTGTTGTGATTATCCCCAAAACAACGCATAGTAGCGTTCATATTTTGATCATCTATATTTTCGAGATTCTAACTCTTGTTTTTCGCGTATTGAATTCAAAAAAATATAAAACTAACCATTCCCGTTTCGAGATCGTGAAGTTCTCGAAGACGGTTCTGATTCTGTCTCATTTGAATTAAAAAAAAAAATGAATGTATTTAAGGGCATTCCTTGACAACTTGGTCTAACTGCTTTTGTTTATTGATCTTCTGCCGTTTCCAGAATGAACCACCTTCTTTTTTACTCATTTTTTTAAATTCAAGTTTCAATATTTATTCTTTATTATAGTATCATTACCTACCAACAATACCAACGACAACCTATTGAATACTGAACTCTGATTTCGTTTTTTGTTATTGAGTTAGATGAGTAGAATGCGGTTTTTCTTCTCATCATCAGATAATAGTAGATTGTTTTATTAGTATCAAAAGTGTCACTTTGTTTGACAAGCGAATTTTGCATTTGAGAGGCGGAGCGTTTAGCGAAGCCGAGCGAAAGCCAAATTTGCGAGTCGAACAAAGTCACTTTTGATCCGAATGAAACATGCTATTTTTTCTGCAACCGAAACAATCAACTCAAATAAATTTATGAAGTAACCACCAATGCCGTGCCATATGTACGCAATGCAACAAATATTGACAAATAATCCGTGTGGTGGGAATATTCTACCTGCATTAACAGCAGGTTTATTCAATTTTCAAGGATGTTCGAATTGTAGTTCCCATATAAATACAACCACAGAGTGACATATTTGTGTATGGACCAGGTGCTCTAATGCCTATAATGGCAAATACCGCGCCAGTGCCAGTGCCAGGTATAGGAACAACTACAATAATAGCGATTATTCATACTCCACTGTGTTTGACTTGATAATCAAATGAAACTAAACAATATCGTTGTTTCAGACAAAAAACTATTGCTTGCCGTGATTATTCAATAACAAGTCCCGAGAATAACGAATGAAATACAGATCAAGCAAGTATTTGAATCTTCAAGGCTTCCCTGATCAAAACAAAAATACTTAACTGAGATGTTTATAATTCCAATACTAAACTATAATAAGGTGTATTTATATCTCCAGCATGGGTATGAAATGCCAAATCTGCCGAAATCGGAAACAAATCAGGTATGCGTCTCAACCCAAATAACCAACCGTCACAATGTTGTTTGTTCTTGATGACGTCCAGTAAATCCTTTTTAGTTCCTAGGAGCTAAAGTTGAACTTTAGCACCTAGGAACTAGAAATCAACTTTAGCTCCTAGGAACTAAATATGTTGCCTAGCAACATACCTATTTTTGTGTCAGTAGTAGAAACGTCAATTTAAGAGCTGATTTTGGTATCAAAATGGACGACTTTTGTGTCAGTTGCAGAAAAAAGTATGTTTACCGCCGCCGCTTTTGTATTGTAGCGTTCAAGACTCGGCTGACACTAGATTAGTGCATGTTATGATTTTCACAAAAACAGTATCTCAACCAGTCAACGACTGTATTGCTGGTTGCTTTTCCTCTTTTCTCTGTTTTTCTACCGCCTCCTGAAATTCACATCCGAGGGCTGATAGTCCCATAGCCCCAAATATACCATAATTTATTACTATTTTATTACCAACTTATTAACATAATCACGAATTTTTTACTCATCAATTCAAGAAAAATAAAACGCCGATTTGTCTATGTCGATGGTATATTTGAAGTTTTCAAAATAATAATAATTGTTTAGCTATGGCTCTGCTAGGTTGACAGAAAGCTAGCAGAGCCGTTGGTTTTCCTTGTTGGAAATTTGCGAATGGGGTAATAAATCAGTAATAAATTGATAACTTATCGATGATACAACAGAATTCCAAAAAACATGTGATTTGAGTTTTGGTTCTGCTAGGTTGAGATCGAGATAGACAAATCGTCGTTTTCTCCTTGAAATGATGAATGAAAAATTCGTGATTATAGTTATAAGTTAATAATAAAATAGTTAATTATGGTATATTTAAAATTTTCAAAAAATTAAATTTTCAGCTATTCTGCTAGGTTGACATAAAGATATTAGAGCCGTTGGTTTTTTCTGTTTAATGAAGAGTAATAAATTTGCGAATATGATAATAAATTAGTACTAAATTAGTAACAAATTATAGTACTATTGCAAATCCGAAATATTGAAGTGGTTCTGCTAAGTTCATTGGGGTGACAAAAATTACAATACATTCTTAAGCTTTCGAATGCTCTCTTGCGTATATGGCTCAACCGAATTTGAAGAAAAAAAAACTGTTCTATGGAGATTTGAAATACCAATCTAAAGAGGTGTCTTGACCCTTGAACAATTGAAAAAATTTGAAGGGGTTGGTAGGATAGGAGTCAACCAGATGATTGAAATTTATTATAGAATTTTCATGTCAAAGAAAATGATTTTCAAAAATAAAAAATCGACCTGTCCCGATTTTTGCAAAAATATATTTTGCCTATGAGGATAAATATTTTATTCCGTCATAAATTTCCATATAATCACTCATAAAAAAGCTAAATTAGGAAACATTTCATTTCGGCGAGTTTGAGCAAAATGGAAAATATTAATGAAATCATTATTGCTACTTTACTGGTTAATATACCCGAGCTATACCAAAATATTGAATGACGTATGTTGAATATTCGAGAATGATTATATGACATAAGATAAGAATTTTCCGGAGCTGTTAAACAAAAACAATAATTTTCCCGCCTGAGCAGTTTCTATCGAAACTGTTTGAAAACAATGGCGCAGATAAAATTTTATCACCACGCGTGACAAAGTAAAAAGTCCGAATAGGAAACAAATCGACTGTTCAACCATTAATATGGTTCAACAAGAATATGAAGCGTCGTTTTTCGATGACTCAATATGACTCGAACAATTGATAGTTAGTCTACACATGACATTCAGTTTATTTACCGCTTAATCATGAATCCTCTAAAGATAAGCTAATACCTATATAGTGTGCCGTAAAATAAATATTTTTCAAACATTCTTTGTTCAGCATGGCATCAGGGTGAAACGTGAATATTTTATTTGATAATTACTAGCAGATTTGGGTTAGGACACCAACATAAACTGATACTATCTAGACCGCTAATGCCACGAAATCGCACTGGGGTACATGAATCATGCGCATTCAAGACCTGTCATACAGAGTGACCCAATTGAAACCGGGCCACCCTCATAAATTTTTTATTCATGAAGCGATTATTTTTTCAATGTGAAGGGGGAAAAGGTGTATTTTGGAGCTAAGCGGTGTCCATTTTTGCAATAAACCAAGGCCTACTAGAGTACTAGATCACATTCAGAGGCTGAAAAATCTGGAAACCCTATTAGCGTTTTTATGAGAAAAAATCCGCGTAGGTACACCACTGGAATCGACGTCCTCTAAAATAGATGTGTGTGTACCAAGTTTCATGAAAAAATATTCAACATCAACTGATCTGCGATCTGCATTTCAAAGGCCCCCCCCCCCCTTCGGCCCCCTCTATATCTCACTTGCGACTGCGGAGTCTGTATCGTAAAATGGAATAGTGGTGGGAACTTCGCGTAATCCCGTCATATCAATAACTAAATGTATTTCGTAGTTGAAATTACGCCAGTCGGGCAACCAGCCACTCCCGTATGATGGGAATTTTAGTTTTGGAGTGTTTCTTTCCTTCTTTTCTACTCAGATGGCGTTGCTTTCATATTGTCTATGGATGACACCTCTGAGGGAATATAAAGCCGACTTGATTTGGCTAGGCTACGCTAAGTCGACGGTCTTAGGACTGCTGGCTGGAGACTGCCCTGCACTGAAGAGAGTCAAAGAGCTCGAAACCGGTCTGTAGGTGTCTAGCGTGGCCTGGCTAAATCGAAACCAATAGGCATTCAGGAAAGAATCACTTGTATCATTATTCGTTTATACGAGTCGATGCATAGATTTCGGGAGGATGTAATTGAATGTTCAGCGTGGCATTAGCTGGGAAAGTAGTTGTTTTTCTCCCGAAATTTACCATTGTTGTTCATTTTATGAACATTGTGTGGAAATGACTGAGCTTTTTTGTATTTATTTAGTCATATCAATGTTGCCGGATTGTGCTTATTTTCTTTAACTTGAGAAAGAAAATTGCATTTCCATGAATTAACATGAAAGAAACCTTTACTATAGAAAATAATTTTGTCGAAACTTTTTCTCAACAGTAAATGCCTCCACAGTAAAATTAAGAAGAACAATTCCTACCACATTTCTTTTGGTTCTCACCAGGGTTGGCCGATATATATCAAGTGATATATATCATGATATGTATCATGATATATATCTGATATTAATTGATTGATATATATCATGATATATATCATTTAATTCTTTTTAACAAAATAAATACCGGAGCAAAAAATCCTTGATATTTCGCG